AATATACATCTATATTAGAAAAAGCTGGACTGGCAGAGGAAAGAGAGAGACATTAACAATGAAGTAAATAAAGTCAGACAATTTCATTGTAAAATTTTGCTGTAGACAATACAAGTAGTGGTGGGATCTCATTAGAGTGGGCGAAGGCGATCTTTAGGCCTGTTATGTCTTGATTATCACAACATAATATTATATTTTGATTATCAAATATTTATCAAATAATCAAATTTTGATTATCAAATATTTATCAAATTATTATATTTTGATTATATATATTATATTTTGATTATCACAACAATAGTATCATATTGGCTATATTAATTTTTTACTTTTAAACAGCTAATGCAAAACCAAATCCTTCTTGTGGTCAGACTAAAACCTGAGAGTCTGAAAACTGACTTGCTTAGGTATTTGAACTCTTAATGGCCTGAAACCCAATTTATATTGAATTTCTTGACTCCTATATAGCTCAGCATCAGACTTACTCTTTTCTGCAAGGTGTGAATTTGGAATTCAGATCTAGAACATAATCAATTTGTTTCAGGACAGAGTGATGTAATAGTATGGGAGCCCAAAGCCCTTTTTTGTGTGGGACACAGGGCCTGAAGAGAAAAAGGAAGTCACTTTGCTGCCATTTTTCCATTAACCCAATGGTTAGAAAATATCTCAGAGTGGGAGAGATCAAAATACGAGCACCTTTGCTGATTCAAACGTCTTTCTCTTGTTAATCAAGAAAATGTCTTAATATCTATGATATTGAATATTATGGTATTCATACTCTCAGTTGGTTTACTGGTTCTCTTTTGCATAAATATAATTAAAATTACCACTAGGGAAGTTCTAAAATACAGGTACTGGAACCTCTTAGTGAGTTTTATCAGCAAAATGCTGCAGAATGATAATTTTCTTTATCTCTGATTGTTGATTTGGCATGGACTGAACTACTCCAAGAAAAGGTTTTGTTGTAAATGTTTTCTCTCAGATGCTCTACAGTTTGAGCAGTCTCAGTTAAACCTTTGTATCTGAGAAGATTATACAGAAACCTAATATGAAAAAGGTCATAAGGGAACTCAGAGCTGGGTTCTTGTATCTCCCAGGTAAATGTCTTTCACTGTGAGGAACATCTTTTCTTCAGTAGATATTTAAAGCATTTTATGAAAACAGAAGTGCTCCAGAGGAGACAATGTGGAAATTCGAAATGAGGTCGTGGAGTACTTGTCCAATGCTACATCCTACTAGAGCACATGTGGTAGTTCCCATTTCCTTGAGCTGGCTGACCTCTTCTTTTTTCTGTTCAACCAAGGTTGCTACCATGTTAAGAAATAGAAAGAGGCACCACTCTCACCCTTTTGAGCAATTTTTTAAGTTGACTGAAGAAATATTTTCAGTATGTGGTTGTTTCTATTGAAGAAAAAAAAATATTGATTCATATTTGACTGGATTCTTTTGTATTTGAATCAGCTACTATTATTTTCAAATTTAAGTGGAATGTCAGACTTCCTTAGTAATATGATACTCAACTACAAGAAACATTAGAAGACATGGCCCACAAAACCAGCCAAGAGTCCTGATTAATCAAAGTTTAGGAAACTGAAATGAGTGACAATCGCAAATTAATAACATTAGTTGTAACATATTGAATGATAATCTTTAATGTAAAACTTTTCTAGGGCATTATTTGATTTAAGATTTTAACAATAAACCCACCTAATTTGAAGTAAAAAGGCTCAATTATTTTTATTTATTTTGTTGTTAGAGTTGTAAAAGTAATGCTTTGTGTTATTCTGATGGTTCTAACAGTCACACCACAGATGCATTTGGCCCTTTGCCTTTTGGATTATAGGCAAGTCATAGAATGTTGTTGTTTGAAAGCTAAAGTAAATCAGGCTATTATGAATTGCTAAATGCAAGATCAAACCCATAATCCTCTTTGGACAACTGCTAGGAAAAGAAGAAAAAAAAAAGCAGAACTGTGAACCATATTTTTCAGGCAGAACAGAATTTCTTGATTTTTTTAAACCATATTCTTGCATGCTAGCTGGTGAGTTTAAGAAGCTGTTATCATTGGGAATTAAGATAATGACACTTATCAGTAGATGGGAAATGCTAGCATTAGTAACTGAAAGAAAATACTTTGATATTTCTTAACAGATTCTTACCTCCATTTGACATAAAAGTCTTGTCTGAGACTTTATAAGACTAACAAATATGTCTTGTAAGATAATAGATTGAGAAATTTACCACAAAAGCTTTACAGAAGACTTGTTTTTCTGTGGTTGTCTTAAAGAGCAGATGCAATCCTTTTTGCAGCTCTTTGGCTCTATTACAGGTACAGGAAAATATAAAGCAGCTTCAGTTAAGACAAAATAGCTTCCAGTAACTGGGTGCTGATACTCAAGGCAAGAGTGTCCTCACTAAAAATAATGATTTATTTTGGGTGATTGTGCACTCACAAACACAAGGGCTGAAAGTGTTTAAGAGAGCTGATATGAGTCCCTAACACAACACCAAAATATCAATATTCAATCTTTTAATCAAAAGCTTCTTCATATAATAATAACATGGATTTGGAGGTAAATGATTTTTTTTTTCTGAAAATGTTTGTAGTTGGAATTAAAACTGTGAGCTATTAAGTGCAGAGGAACAGCATAGTTCACCTTCAGCAGTTCAAAAAGGAGAGTAGGATGGGGAGAAGATTACCTTATAGGGACATTGCAGCATAGATATTCCACTCCTTTGATTTTCTTTTTTTTTTTTTTTTTAAAGGCTGAAGATTGATGAAATCTAATTTAAATATCTTTGGTGTATTTTTAGGTGTCTTAGTGAAAATTCACCACTGAGAGGTGTGATTTAGCTGAATCCACTGAAAATGTGAGCTCACTTAATGATCAGGAAGTTCTGCAGAGGGAACACCCTTAAGTCCTCTTTGGCTTCGCGAAATGTGGAGTTGATAGGGACTCCTTCAGAGCCTCAGCTATTACAATTTACAGAGTTATTCTGAGCTTCTGTACAGGGTGCGCCAAGGAGAAATTTACTGACCTAAGTGCACTCTGCACTTGCATGAGGAATCATCTGTTCAGGATAACTGAGCACGAGGCTGAGGCTTCATATACTTGAAAGACTCTGGCAAAACTCAGTAAATTGATACCGAGCATTCGTGTTCTATCATTATGTCAGATTCCATTCAGAAAAATGAGGACAGCTCTGAAAACAGTCACATGGAAAGAAGTTACGAAAAATACTATTACCTGCTTTGTAAATTAAAGAGCTACTCATTCACCTAACCGTACCTGGGTTAACCATCTAATCCAAAAATATCATCTGAGATCATTGAGTGAAATAGAAGAAATAGATCCAAAGGGCATTTTATCCTCTCTGTATCATTCATCTGTCAGAATAGGGAGATTCACTCTGCAGAGGTACTCATCTGCCTTCACTGATGATGTAGCAGCCTACACTGGCAGATTGGTTTCTATGGAAAAAACCCAAACATATACATACATATGGAGAAAATTGTGGGTTTTCTTGCAAAAATGAGAGAGTTTTCCTCTTGCCAAACATCTCCAGCCAGTCTTCCCTGCTCAATTTCATACTCCTTCCTCTGGGCCTTTGAACAGAGACATGGAAACCCGATCAGTGTGTTCCTTCCTGCAGAAATCTTTGCAACAGTGTAGACTATTTCCATGCTATGGCCTCTGCCTTCCCTCATCCTTTTTTCTGTGGGCTAACACCTTTAATTCAGTCACACCTAAACTGGACACAACACTCACACTGCGTCTTCACTGGAGCAGAGGGAGGACAAATGATTGTTTCATGTCACTTCTAGGCTCCACTTCTTTTCACCATTTATGATAAAAAGTTTGTTGTTTTAAGAGCGATTTATCACACTGAGATCATGATTCTCTACGGCATTTATATACTTTTCCTTCTGACTAACTATGCTTTGTCCATCCAAAAAAGACCTTTGCTCACCTTTTTCACTTGAGTTTTTCATGGAAATATTGATAAGATCTTGGATTATTAATATCAGGCATATTTTGGGGGTTCTGAAAAAATTTTTAAAAAGGTGAAAAACTTTCCTCTTACCAGCAGTGTGCCCGGGTGGCCAAGAAGGCCGTTAGCATCCTGGCTTATATCAGAAAGAGAAAAATGTGGCCAGCAGGACTGTGATTGTCCCCCTGTGCTTGGCACTGGTGAGGCCACGTGTTGAATACTGTTCAGTTCTGTCCCTCACTACCAGAAGGACATTGAGGTGCTGGAGCATGTCGAAAGAAGAGCAACAGAGGTGGTGAAGGGTCTAGAGCACAAGTCTTACGAGGAACGGCTGAGGGAACTGGGGTTGTTTGGCCTGGAGAAAAGAATTCTGAGGGGATACCTTATTGCCCTCTGCAACTACCTGAAAGGTGTTGTAAAGAGGTGAGTGTCAGCCTCTTCTGTCAAGTAACAAGCAATAGGACAAGAGGAAATGGCATCAAGTTGCACCATGGGAGGTTTAGACTGGATATTAGGAAAAATTTCTTCACTGAAAGGGTTGTGAGATATTGGAACAGGCTGCCCAGGGAAGTGGTTGAGTCATGGTCCCTGGAGATATTTAAAAGATGTGTAGATGTGGTACTTAGGGACATGATTTAGTGGTGGACTTGGCAGTGCGAGGTTAATGGTTGCCCTTGATGATCTTCAAGGTCTTTTCCAATCTAGATGATTCTATGATTCTATGATTTTCTAGCATTATGTAAGTCTTTATTTGAAATTAAATTTGCTATAACTCCTACCATTCCTGTTTTTAAGAATGGACATCACCATCTAAAATAATCAGTTATTCTCAAGTATCTGCTTGTACCTTATTTTTGTGAATTTCTCTATGTTTTAGCTATCAGTGTTCCTATAGTTCCTAATAAATGTTATTCATATCTAATTCCATCTTTAATCTTAGCATTCTTCTTGACAGTGTTGTGGTTTTTTTGTTGTTTTTTTTTTCTTTGCTTCTTTCTTAGAGGCTAAAGGAAAAAGGAGAAATCCTCTTCATGACTTCAAAAAAACAGGAGAGTTGATGCTCATTAAAGTAAACAAAGCACTGGAAGTAAAAACCAAGCTCTTAAATACCACTGAGCAATGTGCCAAGAGATGCAGCAGGAACAAAGGCCTTTCGTTCACTTGCAAGTAAGTTATATAACTCTCTCTCTTTTTTCTTTTTTTTTTTTTTACCTCATGGAACCTATTTAACACCCTTTGACCAAAGGCCTGTCTGTAATTGTCATCAATGGTAGCTTGTACTGAGGACAATCTAAAGATTGTGCTTTTTGATTTCCATAATCTTGTTCCACCTGTCCAGAGACTGTCAGTCTTTTCTGAGGCTTTGTATGAGTTGTTCTGTCTTCTTAGCTTGTTCAGTCTGTAATCTTTACCATAACATAGTTGAAAAAATGCAGTCATGTTAAGATGTGGATGACTTGTGCTGCACTGTAGTGTTCAGTGAACATTGCTGGGATTTTTACGTCTCTTATAAAATGGTTATTGTCATACATCACAGCTGCAGTATTTCAGCACCACTTCAGACCATATTCTGTCTTCATTCTTTGCACATTACTCCCACTGAAATCAATGGAACCACACACATGGAGCACAGATACATGCACTGCTGAAGTTCACTGGCAAGTACTACGAATCTGAAACAATGGAATCAAATCTTCTGGGCTGCACAATCACTATAAGTATACGATAGCTATTCTTCAGCATCTGCTGTCTCTTAGAAACACATCATGCAGCTGATTGCTTGTCTGCCTTGTACATATTCTCTACTATTTTTTTGAACAAATCACTATTACTCTTCCCATGTATTAGCCTTAAATTATCTCCCTGGCCTCTCTCAGTCTAGACCATTAGCAATAAATGAAAAGATACGAGTGCAGGAGAATCTTGGAGAGAATGGATGGCTTCTGTACTGGTGAGTACTGGGCTAAATGGGAGCTTGGTCTTGAAACATAAATAATGAAAGCTAGACCAAATGAGATAACAAAAGCTCTTTCTTGGCAGAAAACGTCCTCGACTGTAATTTAATCCTTCTTTAAGCCTTTAATTTCAGTGTTGCAAGATCTAGTTTGTGTTGTTTTGTACTTTGACTATTTATATAAGTAAACACTGAGCAGATCTTACTTATTTCTGTCAAAAAAATATTTTCCAGGCACTAGTATTTTTCACATGGTACAAGCCACTCCTTTTCCTATTGGCAGAGCTTCCACTGATACCATTGCCAAGTGGATCAGGTTGTATTCAAGAGATCCTTGAGTTCTGATGGTCAGCAGTGAGGAGTATTAGAAAATTAGATTTCACAGCATAAAAAAATTCTGAATGATACCAAGCAAATATCAATTCTGTATTCCAACATCTGCTTAGGAAAATTGTCTCAAGCTAGTTGTAGCTGCTCTGGGTGGTATGTTTTGTGTTCTGAAAATAAAAAGTAGGTTAATATATTCATAGATTATATTTTACATTAATAATCTAGAATCTCTCTGAATTTTTAAAACCTTCCCATTTGGGAAAATTTTTTTTTTGTATTGGGACAGTGTCTGATGGATTTATTAAGGGGCAAATTCTCTCTGTCATAATCAGTCATTAAAGCAACATAGAGGAGCCATGGGGGACTTGGAGAACACAGTTTGGAAGAATCCTCCTCACAAATAGCAGAATTACCATCAGTCATGTAACTATTTTGCACTGAAGATGAAAATAAATTGCAAATCTGACTACTTGTGCTCTGAATTTCCAATTTTCCCCTGCACTTTTTTAGCAAGAAAGGCTAGCAACAGAGGTGTAGTTGGTTGGGTCTTGCCTGTGCTACCACTAAGCAGCAAAGAAAGAGGGATTTTCTGTATCTGGGAACATTCTTGTGGTTTCCCATTTGGCCCCAGATGAGTCCTGTTGTAGTGTGCATAGTTCTTTGATGCTACTGTAAACACGTATTTGACATGTGTTCCCTTTTAAAGGAATCAGTGATTACTAACATTTCCCTTTTATTCCTAGGATCTACAGTATTTAACTTCATACCAGCATATGGTTACTACAAGGTGAAATTTGTTGCTGGCTTAAGTTAAAACCAATTAGTTCATTTGTTGCTGTGGGAGCATTCTAAAATAAGGAGAGAAGTAACAGAAAATGACATTTTGAATACTTGAAATATAAAACTTGAATTTTCCTTTGTTTATTGACATTTTCATGGCTTGATTCTGATGCTCCATACCCATGTAACAATTATCCATCACTTGGGTCACAGCACTGATGTGTTTTTCTTTTTTTTTCTGATGCAAACTCAATTTGTTTAAGTATTAAGATCAAATAATATAGAAATACTTAGTAACATAATTATGACTGTAACACTGGGAGCAGAAACCACTGGGTCTGTGCCCTGTGATGTACACAAGCAGGAAAAGGGTTCAGTTTCTTTTCCTTCAGAAAGTGGTAAAGTAGCAGATTCTAGGCACTACAGACTTATAAAGCATCAGTCACTCCTTATTTTCTGGGGGAAAAAAATGAAGGGATCTTTTGATTTATTTATGGTAAGTTTCTGTATCACTTGCAAGTAAATTGTGAGTATTATATTCGATAATCATTGATTCTTGCTGGTTTTAACTGACACCTCTTGGAGCTAATATATGTCACTTCTAAGAATGGATCTTCCCTCTTTTCCCTTGCTATCATGCTTTCACGGATCTTGATAATTTCCAACTGAATTTCAAGATCCTTGTCTAGACTTGTTTCTTCTTCATAACACTATTCCTAAAATCCTCCATCAAAGAACCCCTTAGATTCACTTGCCTTGTCTTTTTTACTTTGTAACTCTGCGCATCATTTTCTGCCTTCCTTATCAGCTTTTTAAATCTGCTGTTAAGCTGTTCTTAATTCCTTTGTTTCACCACGATTTTCAGCCCATTATACTCACTGTTTCCCTTCAGACATCCTTGCAGGTTTTCCCACGACATTTCTTGTGGATGAGAAAAAGATAACATAATTACTATTTTATTGACTATGCAGATGATTTTGCAGACATGTCATTTCCTTACCTACAAAGCTGTGCCTGTCTTATCCTTTGTTATCTGCTTAACTTCTGGAACGTCTTTGTATTTACACAGAAAGGGGTTCCAGTATAGGCTACAGGATTCCAGTGTCTGATCAGAAAATCTACTGACTATCTCCGTACAAATACCAACAACAAAAATTGTTGTGATCGGCAGTATCAGTAGAAGATAGTCCAAGAATTTGCTTAAATATGTTGACTTTTGAAGTGTAAAAACTCTCCAGATTTGGGTCCAAGAAAAACTTGTTAGAAACTTTTGTGTGCAGAAGTGGCTGAAGCCAGACTGGAAAGAAACCAAAAGGCAACTGAAAGGCCAAAACTGAAACAAATGTTTGTAAACAGTGATTTCTGCATTCCCTCTTTAGGAGGGAGGAGGGGAAAGGAGAATGTAATTGGAAAGGCAGGAAAGGTCAAGGATATTTTTGTGAAGATGGAGTTAGAGACACTTGGATACACTCATATTTGAGAACTAGCCAGGAGAGAACAGAAGGCTGAACAAGGGCAGAAGGATGAAGGTTAGCAGGTTGGAAACATTTGGAGTCAACAGAGTAGAGAGAGCAGTTGGATGAAAAATCTGTTTGGTGATGGAAACGATAATGAAAAGGATGTTTGAAAGAGAGAAGAATGGCGAGATTGGATAGGATCTTGTAATATTTCTAACTGAAGCCAACAAGATCTTACACAGAAAATCTTGTATGGTGAATTAAATGAAGATCAAAGATCTTTGAGTTGAGAGATGCAGTGCTCAGGAACATGGCACGGCCAAAGTATAGATAAAGTGTAGGAAATCTGTGTGTCTTTTGGATATTATCAAGTAGTGTTAAAATGCTTTCTCAGGTCAGAATGAAATATCTCAGAAGATTTGGGATGACTGACAGAAATGTAGTCTTTGTGGTGGACTAGAGACAATAGTATCATGTCATTGATTTGTTATGTGATGCTAATGAGAAATTAAGGAAAAATGAATTTTCAGTGGTGTTTTTTGGTTTTGTTTCAGATTTTTTTTATTATATTTTTTTCTTATTAGAATAACTCCTGCCCTGGCCTAGGCAGTCAGCTATGTTTTTTAAATCCTTTGAAGTATTTTACCTGTGGTTAAGGATTTTCCTTTCAAAATGATGCTAGGAGAAAAAGGTCTGCACATTTCATTTAAAATATTGAAAGAAAGTCTTTTTACTCTTCTGTTTTCCATTTGTCTTTCTTACCCCTGAAAAATCCACTCAATTCAGCACACATTGTACTCTATCCTTAAAAGCAGTTAAAAATAAGAGAAAAAAATAAAACAAAAGCAAAGCAAGGACAAGCTGTAGGTACATTATCACGGTTTGGATTATTCATAAAAATAAAAATAATCTTGTTTTTAAACAACTCTGTTGTTCTAGGCAAGAAACAGACTTCTTGTGCTTGAATTTTCCTCAAGCCTTCAGTGTGAGATACTTAACTATTTCAGAGGCATATTGTAAGCACAGCAAAGAAGATGTTTTAGAGGAGGGTTTTTGTTTGATTCCCCCCCCCCCAAGAAAGTAGCACAACTGGGGACACAAATGCTGTCTCAGTCACATTTATCTCACTTTAAAAATAAAGATCTTTAATGACAAGGAAACTCTTAGATTAGTGTGAACAACCAAGCTGGTATTTAATGTAATGACCACATCAATTTATTTTCTTTTTTCCTTTGTTCTTGTCAGCACAGTTGTGGGTTTAAATGGTAATTTGGATTATTTCTCCGACTTTCCCAGTAAAAATAAATCTGATGTCATTGCATGCTCCTTGTCAGGCAATGTGTCATTATTATAAACCACACAGAGATTTTTTTATGATCCAGATTTTCTTTGCAGGGCCTTTGCTTATGACAAAGTTACAAAACGGTGCCATTGGTTATCATTCAACAGCTTGACAAATGGTGTGAGAAAGAAGCAAGACCATGCGTTTGATCTGTATGAAAAGAAGGGTAACTGATTTATTTACTGATTTTGTTTTTCCAGCTATGGAGAGGGAAAAAAGCTGAGGTCAGTCAGTGACTTTTTGGCTGTAGGACCATCCTGAGCATGGAATGGTTTTATGCATTCTGAAAGCTGCCTCCTACAGTTTTATTTACAAATATCCTGGTTTTACTGTAATGCAAGTTTGTCTACATACTTGCTCTTGCTCAGTTTTCCAACCTACATATTTGCCTACCATCATATGTACTACTCTGAAGTACTATTTCAGTTTACTACTTAAAAGCTCAGTTGTGTGAGTTACTGTTATTCACTTAGTATTACTTTTATTTACCTCATTAATGAGCGAGGGACTTCAGTCCTCAGATATGGACTTTTGGTCAATCAGACACTTTGGAAACATTTTCACTAACTTTCTTTGGGAAGTTAGTGATCAATATTTTGAAAAATATAGTGACAAGAATGTATATGGACAATTAAAGAGTATTTTGAATAATTATTTAAAGGCTATCAAAAATACGTTGTTTTTGTATGAAAACAGATGATGAGGTCTAATTTTAAATATATTAACCAAACCTTTAATTTTCTTGGATTTTCTTTCAATAGACTATGTCAGGAATTGTATCATCGGAAAAGGAGCAGACTACAAAGGAACGATATCTGTTACTAAAAGTGGTATCCAGTGTCAAGCCTGGAATTCAATGATCCCCCATGAGCACAGGTAAGAGTTCAGGAGCAGAGACAATGGGAATAGTGCCCAGACAGCTTCCATAAAGTATGATTTGACTTATAAGCAGACAAAGAATTTATGAGAAAACTGACCTTAGACAACAAAATCTCTTGGGTGTATTCTTACCTTTACCCAAGAGATGTCACTCTCCAGATCCCAGAAAATCCCTACCTTCTTGAGCTTTCTCTAAAGAGGTCTCTCTTAATGCCAGCCTGTGTGTCTGGATCCCTTCCCTGTGTCATTTTTTTTAGCTGTTTATATCCTTTTGATTTCTTAGCTACTGGCAGAAAAAAAAACATCTGCATAACTTCAGCCTGGGGTCTGAAAGTTTATCACTGTTTTCTAATCGAATCTCAGGAAGCAAGTAATTTTTAAAAAAGCATTATTAGGAAGTGAGGGATACTAGGGATATTAGCCCATATATTCGATCAGTATGTAATTACTCTTACTATATTTTGCGTAGTTACTATTAATTCTCTATTATTTGTAGAATATGTTAAATTCTATAAAGCACTTAGACCAGGCAATAAATACATGGAAAAGATCGAGCAGATTATTGAAATCCTTTCCTTCAGATCATATGAGCAGTAACTACAGACTGATACAGCAAGCATAGCACTTAACTTACAGAAATTGAGGCCATATCTACACCTTGAGAGTAGACTTAGTTCAACTATATTGGCTAAGGAAAAGAGAAGAAGGTGAAAAACTGAAGCCAGTAAGAGCAGTGATAAAAACACATTCAACCACAACAAATGTTGCTGGAAACTAGCAAAAGGACTATGAAGTAGTGGTCTATCCTGTGACCATTTCTCTTTGAACCTTTTAGTAATGGCTTTAGCTATTTAGATAATAAGCCCTTAAGAGCCAAAAGCAAAGTGTCTTCTCACCCTTAAGCTTCCTATCCACATTGCTGCCTTTTGCTCTGGACTTTTAACATCAGCACTTTGCTTAGGAGGAGCCAAGCTAGAAATTACTAGTGAGGAACTGGACTGTACACTGCTCAGTCCTGTCCTGACCAAGTCTATTCAGTGTGCAAGATGATATCTTGGAACAGCATCAAAGGCAAAGGATACTTGGGTTCTCTCCTCTTATGATGTGTTACGAAGCTTAGCCTCAGGCTTGGACTTGACTGGAATTGACTGCTTATAATATAGATGGTAGTGTGTCTGATTTTCAGTGCGGGACCAGACCCACTCTTAACTGTGAATGTACGATAAATACCATCAGCTCCCACAGCAATAGTCTCTTGAGACTCAACACATTTAAGTATACAATCTTCATCTTTTAGAAGTGAAAGAATTCTCAATAATTACAGCCTAAGCAAGAATGAGCATTTATTCTATATAATATGCATATGACTTTATGCAATTAAAGAAAAAAAGTGTCTGGATAGTATATATCATCACTAAATTGCATTTTACTGTACAGTATACACAGCTTTATCTAATACATTTGGACATCCACTCTTCTATGATGAATTTTATGAGAATGACTTTCCTCCTGCCTTGTGCAATAAGTTTAATTTTTAAAAGGTCACTGGATAAATGAGGTGGCTGCATGCTAATTTTGTTTTTCAACATCAGAAAATGTGATTTCATCATCAGAGACATGAGAGAGATGGGAAGGAGTAGACAGTAGTGATGTGTTTGGAACTTATTAGCGTGAAAGGCTTAGATTTTTAGGTCAGTTTTTCTCATAATCTGATTATCACAAAGTACCATTGGAAAATACGTCCCTTTTTCATATTCAAGGGAGAAAAGTACTTACTGATTTTTCATTATCTTTCTAGGAAGTAGTTAAATAACTTCAGGCTTTAAACTTGTGCTTGGAATTAACAAATTGTATTTTTAAGGATTTGCATTCCAGTAGAACCTGGAAACTTCCAGCTGAAATCAGGGTTCCATTACTTTCATTCCCATTCTAGTACTGATTACAAGACTAAATATTTTTTTGCTCTTAAGAGTTTTTTACCTAAATAGATAAAGCCGATGCAAAAAGGGTTCAAAGAGAAATGATCAAAGCGTAGACCAGTAGTTCACAGGCTTTTTGATAGGTTGCATGACTTTTACTGTGGTTAAATCTGTTTTTACCATTACTTTTATTGGCTTTCGTTTTGGCTTTCTTCTTTTTTTCCTTACCTCATATAGTTGAACTAAATCAGCACACAGTTTTAGGAGTGACTCTGTCTTCCATTTCTAGGTGGGTCTTTTCTGCATCTCATCTTTTCCTCCCTCAAGAATGTTGCTTCAGTACCTGTTGAAGACATTTGAATATCTGACCCATCTTGAGTTTCTAATGCTATTAATTTAGACTTGTTTATTTTTAATGTTCTGATAGGATATCTGGTGTAATTTGAAAAGCCTTTTCCCTATATTTTCTGTTGTCCGTAATTTCTGAGTAAAAAGATTTTCCAGCAGAAAAATTAAGTAACATTTTCTAATATGGAGTGACATACTACATTAGCACATACACAGGTTGAAATGTCCCATCAGAAAAGTTTACCCAGGACTGTCTTAGCTAATTCAGAGATTTATATTACAAGACTACAGAGGAAAAACAGAAGCAGCAATTTTATAGGCAGCAGTAATGATGTAAAAATTATTCTCTTCAAGCGTCAAAAATAAGAAAAGCACTTTTAAATAATGCTTCCGCATTGCCTTGACTAGAACTACAATGAGATTAACAGAGGTATTTTCCACTTCGGTTAGTTCAAAGCTTTCATTAATGAGAATAAAACATGATTAAAATGTCACATGTCAAAATTTTCTTTTTGTTTCTCTTTTAAAATTTTTTTGATTTATTCATTTGTAACATAGAATTTTCCAAAGAAAGCAGGAATCATAGATTTCTCTTCTGCTTTTGTACATAAATTAAAACAGTGTCTGTGTATAAAGACTGTCCCAAGTGCTTAATTTAGACTCCTAAGCTGAAAGCGTCTGCAGTCTCCTAAAAGAAGTTAGATTAAATTTTATTCCTTTTTTTTTACCCTCTAGGATATAGATACATTTGGATTCCCTTGGTAATTAAAACCACACACACCAAAAAATACCAAAACAGCAAACCAAAAAGGAAAAAACAGACAAACGAACACCCAAAAAAAAGTACTGGACATTTTCAGAATAAAGGTGCACTTTACTTGTGATATTTCCATCAACATTTAAATAAAATGAAGAAACACACTGGAACGAATCTTAAAAAGCTAAAAAGTTAGATCAATTTATTAAGTTGAATTACAAGTTTATGTGATCCCCTATGTAGTTTGCTCAACTTTTCAATTAACAAAAAAAACCCCGACCAAACCACGAAAAATCTTCATGGAATTGAGCATAACTCTGAATTTAATGTATTTTTTAACTGCAAAGCTTTAGCTGCTGTTTAAGCATCACTACAATGAAACTGGCAGTGAAGTGCCACCGCATTTGTCTGCAATGTGCAGCCTGACCGTGGTCATGAGCTTTTGCAGTGGCATTGAACAGAACTGACCCTGGGGTTGGGCTCCTTACTATGGGGTTAGCTATTCCCTAGTTTGTGGGGAAAAATAACTACTAGTACTTTTATGTATAAATAGACATATATATATGCCTGCATGTATCTCTATATGTCAGCGTGTATGTGGGGTTTCTCCAGAGGTAAGCACATAATTTTACAGACAGCTAAGAACACAAAACCTTGACCCTGGAGAGTTTAGATTTGACGGACTGAGCACAAGCAGCAGTCTCATACTGAGAATGCGTGTTAGGTAAAAAATATAGTATTAGCTCACATTTCCCTTAAATCACTAAAGAAAAACAAAGTGCTTAGCATTGGCTTGAGAACCCCTAATCTGAGGGGAAAATCTTAAGGGATATTGTTATTTAATAGCCCCTTACAGCAAAAGCAGAAAATATAATGAAAGGGAGAGCACAGTTTAAGTCAGCTAGGTCACTGTTAAATGACCTAATGTGTACAATAGCAATGATGAGTGGATCTATAAGTAGCAGACCCTAAGGTGACAACAGTGGGGCTTGTGGCAGAAGATGAAACAAGACAGCTAAAGCGGGATCTGGGGAAATTTCTGAGGCCGAAATGCAAAGCGGTCCATGGTTTCGGGCAGTGAAAGCCTCTCAGCGTGGTGTGTCACGCTGCTTGGTCATGCTCACACGCTCCTGATGCTCAGTTCTAGCTGCTGCCTGACCAGGGATGGGAAAAGTTTTCTCTATTTGTGGGCTTCATGTAGTAGGTGCACACTAAGCCCAGCTGAGTGTGCTATATATATGCGCACAACATGCATAGGAAAGGCGGGTCTGACATGGCTATGGACCCAGAGGGTTTTTCCCCTCTGCACCCAGTACGTTTCTCCCCTGTGTCCGAGGGCCTTCCACCGTTGTGTGAGCAGTTACAAGCTCATGAAGGGGAGCACAGCGAGGGCTGGCAGGGAGTGTGCTGCTGCCTCTGCCTCTGCAGCAGATAGTTGGCTCTGGACGCCTGAGGGATGGGAATAAAACTCGCTGGAACAAGCTATGGGCTAGATAAATTGTCCCAGATTTAGGCCATTGATTGAGTAATCCCAACTGAAGATGTGTATTTGTGTATGGACAGATATTTGGGTGTGTGCATTTATGTAGGCGGGGTGGAGGGAGAAGGAAGCAGAAATGTGATTGTTTCTAACTGTTTGTAAAAAATAATATGATTAACACCAAAGTTTGCATGCTCTTATACTGTAATGATTGTCATTTTAAAACTAGCTTTTTGCCTTCGAGCTATCGGGGTAAAGACCTGCGGGAAAACTACTGTCGAAACCCCCGAGGGGAAGAGGGAGGGCCGTGGTGTTTCACCACCAGCCCCGAGATGCGCCACGAAGTCTGCGACATCCCCCTCTGCTCACAAGGTAACCCAGCACGGCGCACGCGGAAAGTTGCCTTTTCTCTACTAACAGCAGGTACACGGGACAGGCACAACGCAACAACAGTTTCAGTGACACTGGCTCATGGACTTCGGAGAAAGGATATGTGATTTCTCAGTGAGAATAACTCGTGTAGCAAGAAAAGCAGTTATTAGACAAAAAGGAGATCTTGTTATGTTCCAGTACCCTGGAAGACTCAAACTTCCAGGCTCAGCAGCTTTTTTTAGGTCACAGAGGAGCTGGAACAATGAAGTTGTGCTGATCGCACAAATGTCACCCTTTTTTCACTTGTCTAGTCCATAGTGAATCCATTAACGATTTCAGTATTACTATGTGATAAAATCATCTAGTGCCATTCCATGGTAAAATCAACTTTTCTCCTTCTTTTTGATGAAAAGATAGATACTGAATTACAGGATGAAAACTCAATCTAAGTATGCTTTTTTTTTTTCCAAATTAATTCTGTAAATAAGTAAAACTTTTTATAAATCCGGTCCCATTCAACTTTCAAGTCACAGAATTTGAAAGACACTTCATGTGCACCATTGCATTTATTGACTTTTAAGTTCTGTTGACCTCCAAACTAAGCTCGTATAACTCGCTAATCAGCCAATTCAGTTCCAGTCAATCAACCCATTTAAATTCTCAAGATAGGATGCCTTTAATTTTCCTGCTAATGCATTATGTGTAAGGGGATGGGGGAAGAAAAGGCAGAGGGAGGGAGGAAGAGAGAGAGAGGAAGAGAATGATTTACAAGGAACTTCAAGATCTATTAAAAGCTAGCATTTAAAGATCAATTTAAGTGAGCTTCAAATGGGATAAGACCTGGAGCTCACTGCAAGATGAAGACTTTGGTAGTGGCTGTTTTAGCTGAAGAGTGAGATCTTTGAGATCTGTAATTGCATAAATTAGTGTTTACTAAGTGATCCTTCCTTTGTTACAATCAGTCTAATTAGGGGGCACTTGAGAAATATGTCTACAGTTAATTATAGTGAATTTATTTTATATTTTAAGACTTCTCATTCTAAATTATGAAGCATATTTTGCTCAACAGTGATTTCAAATCCCTTTGGTAGCTTTTGCCCGCTCTCCCTCCACCCCCCACTTTCTCAAGCCAGGACTGAAAATATATCATAGTTTAAGCTGCCAAAAAGAATTAGTATCGAAAAGAAACAGTATCATATGCAGCTGAAAGTGCTGGGAATTTAAAGATACAGACTGTACTGCATGAAATCGTGATTCAGCCATTACTCTGGACATAAACGTGTGTTGTTATTATATTATGAACTAGTGTGATTTAGAACAATGAATGTTACTTAATTAGAAAATATCACCCCTGGAACGTACTCTCCCTTAGATGTGTGTCTGTCTCTTGCTAACCACAGGCAAGGTTAAAAATTTACTAGGAACGTGAATGCCTCTAGCATCTTGCACCTACCTGCCTCAAAACCATAAGTGTCCTATAAAATGATACCAAATTTAAGCATCTGGATTAGATCTAAGAAAGAGATGCAATTCTATTCCAAAGGACATTTCCCATACCAGCCTGACTAAATGATACCACTTCTTTATACCTCTCTAGATTGGTTTCAATTTATAACAGCAGGGATATGATTTAATTTTTTAAAATTTGTTCTACAAGTCATCAGCATAATAAATGACTAGTAGATATTTTCTTCCCTAGTTGAATGCATGACCTGCAATGGAGAGAGTTACAGAGGGCCAATGGATCACACTGAGTCGGGCAAGGAGTGTCAGCGCTGGGATCTTCAGAGACCACACAAGCACAAATTTCGTCCAGAGAGGTAACCCCTCCTTCCCCCAAGCAAATCCATGTGGTTATAATTTGAAAATTGCAGAGCTTCTGAAACCAGCTGGGCAAAATCAGCATTAGCTGATCTGAAATTTGTGGAGTTCAACAGTTTTAGTTGCTTGGGCTTTTGGCCTATGATGAGTGCAGGCTGGCTACCATCATGATGGAGATGCAGGATGGGGGCTAGAGGCTATTTTGTGCAGTTGTAGCTACATCCCATGGCTGTGTATGTACATGTGCTGTGTTGATCGATCAAAATTTCCTCCCTAGCTTCATTGACAGTAAAAAGTTAACCTCTGAATTTTTCTGTATATGTTGCTATCCAGCTTCAGTCTGTTTAAAATATCTTCAACACAAAGTATATCATGATTAAAAGTAAATTTTTATTAGAGTTCTTAACAAAATTAGTGAATATGAACTTGCAACATTGGCAAGTCAAAGTATGGACTTTTTCTGAAATATTGAACAGCCTTAAAGTTGTAGGTCATCTTTTGTTGTAATCAGGTCTAAGTATCCAATTTGTTTGACCAAAATGTTTGCCCACTACACATTTTATTTCAGCCTGGGAAAGGAGCTCGTTGTTCTGTTTAGTGTTTTATGCACATGAATTTATATATTATACTTTTTCCTTTTTTTTTTAAGTTTTAGGCACAGAGACATAATGAAAAAAGATGTGTCAGAAATAGCAAGGCAAATTACATCCCCATCAGGGTTTGTCCTGGAGGGTAAAAATCACCCGACCACAGAAGGTCATCTATAATACACCCTTCTGGAAGGGCTCGGTGTGGGGATTTAGGCCACACAGTAGGGCCTTTGAGTTTCTCTTAAACCAGACTAAAGTTTCATTCTAGTTTTAATCTGGGTTTTGGATTAACTCAATTTATAAAGTGGATTGAATTAATTTAAACTGCCAGAGGAAGACTGCAAGAATCAACAATCTCAGAACGACTGAGACTTTCCACTAAAAGTATCTTTTCATCTATGTTGAAGTGTTCCACTAAATAAAGCATCATTTTTATACTCAGAAATACAGGTAATGGTAGATTTTAGAGCGCCTGATTATTCAGCAAAACATTAAGGATTCTGCAGTTTTGGACTTTATGTGACATAACCTCTCTTTTCTCTTGGCTCGGATGGTCTGTTTTATGAATAATAGCAGGCTCTCCCACAGTTCTGCTGTAAGAAATATTTTGTACGAGTAGACTGGAACTGAAGATAATCTGTTTCTGAGTTTTGCCATGCACTTGCTGTGGATTCTAGAACAAGTCACAGAAAGAATTTTGTTCCTTGGGAGTGAAACATTTATAGAACTTCTGGGTACGAACAATAATAATTTTACTGTCAGGAGGAAATTATTTTTTTCCGTTCATTTTGAATTGTTCGCAATATGACTTTTCAGACTAACTACAGTCTCACAAATCATCATCTTCCTCCTTGAAAGATTTCCTTTGGAAAACATCTTCTTGAGAGTTTTCAGACTGTAACAAAAATACTTTTTTATTAAAAAGCAAGCCATCCGTATCGAGGTGATCTGTATGTGTTTTCAGAAGAGTAACTGGGGTCCAGTACATTTCTAATGCACTGATGTTACTTAACTTCATGGAATGGTCACTAAACGTAGTGACAATTATACTTCGATTGTGCTAGTTTTTAAAAATATTATGTGCTTTCATTTTTTTTTTTTAATAGTCATTTAAGTTGACAATAAGAGAAGTCTGGAACAAATAACCTATTAAAATACAGCAATCTCTAGAGTGGCTTATACTATACCATCTAGGGATAATGTGAATTACCTGGAAACCAGGAAGGACTAGCTAGACAGATTTAAACTTATTTTTATTTATGGATTCTTCAGTTGCAATGGTGAAGAAAGAGAGGTAAAACTAATAATCTTTTCAAATGCTTCAGTCTACCTTCTGTTGGACAATGCTTTCAGCTCAGGGTGAATACATCTCAATTTTCCTTTTTGTCACCTCAATGAATTGTTCCATTGTTTATTCCCTTCAACAGTCACTTACTGGAGAGAATTGGTAGCACCTGTTTACTTAGTTGTGATTGAAGCTAGCAGTAGGGATTCCCCCAAACAACTCCTGCATGACCTGTAAGTAGAATTGCATTCTGAAGCTACAGTTCTCTTGTGTTCTCCTCATGGGCAGGATTATGCCTCAGTATGGAAGGAAGACTGTTGAGAATAATGACTTAGATAGGCATTAAGCAGCACAGAGAAGCAAGTTTTCTCCTCTTCTCATATTTTCTGCTCAAAGTCAAATACACCATGAAAATAGGTACTTCTGCATGGAGGGGTAGAAGTGTAGCATGAGAGTTGAATAACTCTGAGTATCCTTTTATTAAAATACTCTGATTTATATCTCTGGTATGAAAATTTACTTTATACACCAAGTTTCCAGTCCTGTATGTCTTTTAAAACAAAAAGAAGAGGAAAAGAAGTCTTGGTGAGCAGTTTTAGACACTAAGTTTCAGTTTAGTTCCAGCAGAGCTAGAGATCAACATCTGTCTCTTCAAAAAAAATAAATCTTATCTCAATCTAACACTCTTTTTTGCTCCCCTAGAAATGGATAAAAAGTCTTGATTGTGACACCAGATGTGTATCTTAACGCTTTGTTACAGTTTCATCAGTGAAACACAGCTACTGTGATTTCAAGGAGGAAAAAAATGAAATATATAGGGTTCTGAAAGATCTTGGAAACCTCAGGCTATTTGTTGGGTCCAAGTGAGAAGTCTGTGACCAAGTGTACTGGCTGAAGGAGGAGTGTGCAGAGCAAAAAGATGGGCTCTCGGGAGATCCTCCACAGTCTCACTGTTGAATTGTGCGGAACAGTTTGAAGCCTTGTTGTTTTTCTTATCCCTAATATTTGTGTCTTAAAGATGTTAGCTGGCTTTTTCTATAGGAACCGAGGAACTGTTGCTTGTTGGATACGAAGGAAGGCAAAAGTGTGCCTGAACACTGTGGGAAGAATCAAACTAAGGCGGCTCTTGTTGCTCTAGAGAAGCGCACATAGATATAGTTGGTGGAACGATATAGTTCAGGGACACAACTCCATGCCACAAAGACACTCAGAGCTTGATTCTTAAAGAACTATTACATCTCTATGTAAGTTTTAGTTTGTATATAACACATTTTTGACATACTATGGGACTATGGGGATTGAATGTATCCTCAGTAAATTTGCGGACGACACCAAGCTGGGAGGCTGTGTCGATCTGCTCGAGGGTAGGGAGGCCCTTCAGAGGGATTTGAACAGACTGGATCGTTGGGCTGAGGCCAATGGCATGAGCTTTAATAAGGCCAAGTGCAGAGTCCTTCACTTGGGGTATAAAAACCCCAAGCATCGCTATAGGCTCGGGGAAGAGTGGCTGGAGAGCTGCCTGGCGGAGAAGGACCTGGGGGTCCTGGTTGACTACCGGCTTGATATGAGCCAGCAGTGTGCCCAGGTGGCCAAGAAGGCCAATGGGATACTGGCGTGTATCAAGAATAGTGTGACCAGCAGGAGCAGGGAAGTGATCCTGCCCCTGCACTCGGCACTGGTGAGGCCGCACCTGGAATATTGTGTCCAGTTTTGGGCCCCTCGCTTTAAGAGAGATATTGAGCTCCTGGAGCGAGTCTAAAGAAGGACGACTAAACTGGTCAAGGGGCTGGAAAATAAAACTTATGAGGAGCGGCTGAGGGAGTTGGGGCTGTTTAGCCTGGAGAAGAGGAGACTGAGGGGAGACCTGATTACGGCCTATAAATACTTGAGAAAAGATGGTGGGGAGGTGGGGGAAGGGCATCACATTAGTGATGGGTGATAGGACAAGAGGAAATGGGCATAAGCTTAGTCAGGGGAGATTCAGGTTGGATGTTAGGAAGTATTTCTTCTCTGAAAGGGTTGTCAGCCACTGGAATAGGCTGCCCAGGGAGGTGGTTGAGTCCCCATCCCTGGATGTGTTTAAGAATAGGGTGGATGATCTACTTGAGGATATGGTTTAATGGGGATTAGGGATGGTTGGACTCGATGATCTCTAAGGTCTTTTCCAACCTAGAAATCTATGAATCTATAAATCTATATCATACACTATTAGGAAAGATAGAGCGTTCAGTGCTATGAAAGACACTTGCCTTCTAGAAAGTGGATTCTTTACATCCTCAATTGTTTTAAATGGCTTTTGAGAGCTATGACAGCAGATGTTTTGCCATTCCTGGACTCAACTTTGTTCCTGGGTAGTGCCATGGACACTCCATTGGTACATGACATGGAGCACGTGCTGCCAACATCGAAGCTGCACCTACCATCTCATGTTCTGCTATATTGTTAGCTCATTCACTGTTTTCTTGTGAAATTTTTGGACTCAATTTGTTCCTTACAGTTTCTCTTCTACCTAGCAGAAAACAGAGTACTGCTACTAGATCTGAAACTACCACATTCTTGACTGTCCTTGAATTCTCAGTTTTGTGAGATTTATCCTTGTTGGTGGTTTTAGTGGTTTGGTTTTTGTTTGTGGTTTTTTGTTTGTTTGTTTGTTTGTGTTTGGTTTATGATTTTTTTTTTGTGAAGATTTTGTTGTTGTTGTGTTTGTGTTTTTTTTTTTTTAATTCTATTTAAATATCGTCCCTGTCCCTTGTATAGATGAAGGAATCTGATTTTTCCAGAGGAATGGAAGCTCAAGTTGCAAATGCATGAGTTAAAATTAGGATGATTGTTTGACAGAAAAAGCATCCTAGCAAAAAAACATGCTTGTAAATCATATTTTCCTCTGCTTCTGCAAAACACATCTGCTTGCAGTTGTAAATGGGTTCAGGTTCCCAGGTAGTTAACTTTATTGTTCTCTAACGTACTTTTTGTGTTTCCCTTAGGGGCAAATCTACTTTTTGTTTCTTTTACAAACATGTTTCAATAAAACTGGAAAACCAAGACAATTTGTATTCACTGGAGGAAAAAAAATATGCATTTATCTCCTTCTCTTTAAGTTTATAGAATTTCACATGGCACATTTATACAAAAAGAAGCTCCTTATCTTGAATATTTGCCTGACTGTTCAATGATGACAGTAGGAACGTGGAAATAATTAAATGGCACAATAGTTTGAAATCTTAATGAGATAAAGTGAGATGGAAGTTAATTCTTTATTTTTCTCTTTTTTTGCCCCAATGCTTAAAATGAGGGCACGACCTAGAATGAGCTCTATTACAAAAATGGAGCTATGGTTAGTAACATAGCTATTCAAAATAGCTTCCAGTTTGAACCCAGGGCTGTTGCACTGAAGAACCTGTTTTCTTAATGAGTCCAGCATGCCAGGCAGTGTTTATATAATCCACACTTAATTGGACTGTTTCAAAAAAGTGAGTGGCTTTAGAGTCTGGTCATCTGTTGACAGACACAGAAGCAAGAGTTTAGCAATTAGCAGAGTTATCCCATCCGGTATCCTGTGCATTAGCACAGCAGGGAATCCCCTCAGTGGAAGTCTGATTCTGCTCCATATTTGGAAAGAGTTTCTATGTTATTAACTTTCTAATAGTGTTAAAAAAGTAGTTGCATCCACTTCACAGGATCAGACCCCAGGTTAATAGAAACTGGTTCTCCTTTGCCTCTGCTGAAGACTTTCCTTTAAGTACCTTGTATAAGCCAGTGCAGTGTTGCCAGGAAGACTTCTCTGACACGTTTCTCGTTGTGGTTTGCAGATATCCTGACAAGGGCTTTGATGATAATTACTGCCGCAATCCTGATGGCAAGCTGAGACCGTGGTGCTACACTCTTGACCCTAACACCCCCTGGGAGTTCTGCGCAATTAAAACGTGTGGTGAGTTCAAGCAAAATTTATTACTTCCTTTTCCTCTCCAAAATCTGGACACAGATAGTTCAAGCAATATAGGACCACAGATAGTTCATGCATTGCACTTCACTGACTTTTAAAACATAGCTTTCAAAGAGGATGTCGTATAAAGATATTATATTTAGTCTGGACAGGAAATAAAAGAGTTGCAGGTTACTTAGCACTGGAATATGTGTATATCTTACGTTCAGGAAATTGCATTGAAATGTAGGAAAACAAAGAGCTGAAAGAGTGAGGCAGCATCAATTTGGCCACGCTGGGCATCTGCACTACAATTTGTGAGTAGATGCATACACACCTTCCCTACTCAGTGCACTCTCTGTCAACAGCTGTTCATTGCTTTGTTTTATTCTTGCGCATTGTGTGGTTCTAGGCTTTGGTTCCTGCATGACATTCAGCCTTGTGCTGAAGACAGAATTATCAACTTCCTCATGGGTTTCTCTGTGATATTCAGCACTCCAGCAGCAAAGGACTCTGCAGATAATTAATTTCTTTTCATGTGTCAACTACAAGATGGTGGCTTTTATTATCCTCACTTTACAGACAGGGAATTGAATTAAAGAAGTATTAAGGTGTACAAATATGGGAAGCCTACTTTGAGATTCTTTAGTTTGGAATTTTTAGAGCATTCTGTGGCATGTTCTGTCTTCAAAGCCCATATCCTCCAAACTTTGGCGGTAGCTGTGACAGCTCTGTTCTACTGATAATTAGATGTCTGAAATAAGCAGGGACAATGAGGAAGGTAAAACTATTTGACCTCCCTTGAAAACTTGTGTAAAGTAATTTTTCTAGACTTTTATGGTAATGTTGAGGCTGAGGAAGATGGTAGAATTAAGTTTTGTTGGGACACGTTTTAATCAGGAAAACGAGACTTGCATCACTGAAATTCCTTTCCTCATTCACAGTTTGTGGGATCTACAGGTGATAGCCTCCTCTCTTTACTCCTATGCTTCTCATTGCCAGATTTGGCATCCAATTTTTTGCCCTTAGTGAAGTGGCAACCTGTGAAATAATCAATATACAAGCATGACATTAAAGGGTGTCTTATAATACCTAAACAGTTTTCTTTATTCTCTTTACTCAAAACACTTTGTTTACAACATCTTGGGAGTAAAGGCAATTTCTAAAAACAAGGCATGACTTTGACTGAATCCATACTGTTGAAGCCTGTCAGCTTCATGCGCCTCAGCTCTGTGGCTGGGCCCAGGAATACAGGCAGAAAAGAGAAAACAGTCTTTTTGGCTTTTCTGTGAAGTAGAGGCAAAGGGAACCTTCTAAAACTACTCAGTGAAGCTCACAGTTTCATGTTAGCTCATGAGAAAGTCAGTTTCTCTTAGATCTGCAATTTTGGAAACTACAATTTCCTGTGTTGTCCTCCTTCAATTTTGACCAAAACTAAGTGTTAAAAAGAAAATCTTCAAAATCAGTCGCTCTGCTTTTCATCTAGCTTTAAGTGTCACTTCAGTAGGCTTGTGTCATTGTAGTATGCATTTGACTCTCTTGGGAGGAGGAAGAAAATTATAGATTCTATTAAAAAGAACAATAGATTTCACCTGGAACTGGATTTACACAAGGATTCAAAAAAGGAAGGGAAAAAAGATAATAAGTGTAAAAGGAGTGATTTTTAATGACTGTTTAATTTTCAGGGTTCTCTGTATGTTGTTGTTGTTGTTATTATGCAAACGAAGACAAATCATTCTTGGGGTATCTCAAATCTAGATAAAATAGAGATAGTGGTGGATCTTACAAAAAGTATGTTTCTGAAATGTAATCCTATTTTTTTCTTATAATGTTGGCATTTAAATAAATACTGGTTGGAGGGGAGAGAAGAAGGAATGGCTCTGGCATGAACATTTATGTGTGACCAGTTGTTACCCAAAGGAGGAAGCATAGGATTCTCCATATTCACTTGGAATTCTTATCAAACCAAATTATTCAGTCTTTTCTACTCCCACCACCAATAGTTCAGAATTTTCCCTTCTTGCTTGTTCTTGGCTTAGGCCAGTGTAATGTCTTGGAGTGTCAGTCACTTCTTACCAAATAGTCAGTTGTTTGAAATCCAAAGGTTGAGTAGGGATACTTTTAATGTACTTCCTGATGCATAGTAATTGAACTTATTCTGCACTGTCATATGTCATTGTAAACCCAGTATAAGGTAGTTAAAATTAGCAAAATTTTTCCACTGTAAAACAGTGAGTTTAATTTGCTACTTTGGACAATGTCTGTAATCAGGCTCTCTAGAGACAGAAGAAACTTAACAGGACCACTGCTTGTTTTGTATCGGGCACCCGTTAAGTCACATCCGTGTTGAAAGTCTTGCCTGTGAAATACAGTACTATTAATGTAATTGTTTCTATAGTTTTTGATAATCTTTGATAATGGGGAAAGTTCAGTCTTTCCCCATTGTGAAGACAAGCTTGCTTAGCTTTATGACTGAATTGTCCTTCCAATTTTTCAATTAATTCATTAAGTTGGGGGGTTTTGTGGTTTGTTTTTTTTTTATTTTTGCTTTGTGGGTTTTTTTTGTGTGTTGTTTTTTTTTAAAAAAAACTAAACTGTGCTGCCTACATTTCTCTAATTATTATTAGATAATATATGAATCATATGTAACATACTAGATCTATTCTTTTCCCATGGTAAAAGTGTTTTACTGTGAAAAAGAAAAATTCCTAAGTTGAAGCTGACTGTTTCACAAATGCAACTTTTATAAACCTTTATCCTTTGGCATTTCCTGAGCTGATGTGTCAGTGTTCTGAGGATTCACATCTGGCTTTGTTGGTCGCATAACCTTACAGTTCATGTAACTTTCAGTATCTACAGTCTGGCCTAAGTTTTATGAAATAGTTGGGTGGGAGATCTCCTCCAAACTACTGTAATGTCACCTTTGTCTACCCAAGTCACAATTAATGTCGTGAAGAAAAGGTAATCACCAGAATGAAATTTTTAAAAACTTCACAATGTAATGATTTTAGTGTTGTGATGAAACCCTTTTGTTTCATTTCTAGGTGAAAGTTGACAGAATTAACCAGAAATTCTTCTTTCATCTTCAGTTAGAAAGTATATGAAGATCAGTGGAAATTTCACATGCAAACCGGTATTTTCACTGCAGAAAACTGTAGATCTTTGGAAATTACTGAAGCAATCTGTATAAGTAAGAATACAAAAGTAGTGATCTTGAAAGTGCATAATCCAGCAGATACTTTCACCGGATGTTTAGCACAGGCATATGGCATTGCCCTCTACGTTGATGTGATGCTGCTCAGTGCTTTCCTTTTTAACCCAGAGAGGGAATTTATCACTGATACTACTCTTGTATCACCAGCTTGGTGATCAGAATAGGAACACAAAATATCAGAGCCCCGTTTTCAGTTTTCTGTCTTTCTTGAGGCACAGAGAAAAACTGTTTTTCCATCTCTTAGCAGGGAGCCCAAAACACTGGGCCGTTCTGGATTTCAGTGGCTGCTCCATTTTCTGAAGCTGTGGCTGTGTGCAATCTCAGTACACTAAAAAGAGAACATCATGAGTTATATGTCTTTATAGCTTTGTGGTTTGGATTCTCACACAGGTTTTTAATTCCTATGTTGAGGACTGTTTATATATTTTACAAGAAATACTAATTAGAAAAAATGCTTTGCAACTCCAAGTCCTTGGACCATACACAAAAACGTAGGTGTCCTCTCCTCGGGGGAGTGACCACAAGGCAGCATGCTGCTTGTGGCTTTTGCTACATGTCATGAGTGCTAGTATGCTCTATAGCCAAAATGCTGACAGCAGCTCATATACAAAATTTTCAGCAAAAAAGTCAGTGGAAGGAAGCATTCAGAAAATAAATATGTTTTTAAGACTGAAGAGACAGGAGGGCATTGTAACTTTATTTCCAAGCACAGAAGGCAGCATAAAACATTGTGGCTTACAGCCAGGGCTGTGAGAAAGAGATGACAGGAGCAATTAGGGATTAGAGATGGCTCAAGCTGCAAAAATTGGATCTGGATTAAGACTTCAGGGACCCCAGGAATGGTTTGAAGTTGATCACATATGTGTCTGTGGTTTTGGCTTGAGACAATTTTTAGTTAGAAGAGAGGATAAAAGAACAACTACAACAGCAATAAAGAAGTGTAGGACGAAATGAAGAAATGGAAGCAGTGACAGCAAATATGAAAAAAGAAAATGACTGTTATTTTGGCAAGAATGAGGACATGACTACAGGGAAGATAGGAGCAGGGAGATAATACTACTTTAAAAAAAAACAAAGAGTAGCTGCACTTTTGTGGACGAGCTACAGGGCAGAGAGGTGCTGAGGCCCAGAAATGAGTAAGCTACGTATGTCAGTCATTCAAGAGCTGCAGAGCTAGAGCTACAGGGAATTATTATGGTAAGGACAGTGCTTGGTTGCTGCCTACCTGATTTCCAACCAACCCAGCTGATTTTACTGTGGATTTAGCCTTTGCTAAACTTTGCTATGAGTCAGTACTCATAGGCAGTAGGCAGGGGTGACTGGAGTATGAAAAGCCCTGAGAGAATTTAATAAGGGTCTGGATTTGGTGGGAAAGAGCAAGTAATGAAAAGCAAAATTGAGAATCTAGGTGTAAAATGAACCCTCGCAGTGTGCCTACAACTTTTGGGAAGACAAAGAATCACCAATATTAGATTGCTTATACTTTAGAAGCAGATATTTCAACTCCCCGTTTGAATGTGAAGCTCTGATTAAAGAGTTATTTGTTGAATCATAGCATGTAAACAAATACAAGTGCCACTCAGTTTAAGTTTAACATTTATGTAGGATAAAGATGTTTATAGAAAGGAGGCAGTGAAAAGAGGCTGATATTTAGGAGTTGATAAAGTGTTACCTTTCACCTGGCTTCACACGGAGCCGTAGCAGAGGTCGAGCATTCATCGTGCATGCAACGACATAGAAAACTATGTTTTCTTAAAAACGATCCTTCTCAGATCTTTTTCGTAATTTCTATGATTTAAGAGCTCTGAACCTACAGAGGTCAAAATTAATTTTTTTAAATGGATTCAAACTAAAAATTGTTTGGATTTAAAGCCTAGTTATAGATATTGAAACAACCCGGAAAGATATATTTCTGTTCAAGGACAAACAAACTGTAGGTGTGTACGTTTTCGGTGACAATGAGTTCTTCAGTACTGTGATTCTTTAGCTTGGGTCAAATTTATTTCTTCACTTTCTCATATGTTTTTACTGAAAAAAAAAACCCACCACCAAACACTAGAAATCAGTGGGTTGGTTGTGGGTTTTTTTGTTTTTGTTTTGTTTTGTTTTGCTTTTTTCACGTTTCATGTATTGTGAGATAATACATTGAAGGAAACACATAGAAAGAAAAGAACTGCCACTATTGTACCACTCAGAAATGTAGATTGTATTGCTTGAGGTCGGGATGTGTGGAGGCGGTATAACTGAGCATGAGCAGCTTCTCTCCATGATGTCACTCAGGTTTCTTACTGACATCTGCAGAATTGCATGGATCATGTTTAAAGAGGACTTTGCTGTGTTTAGAACATTTTCTTTACTAGGTTAGGCACTTCTTATCTTTCAAAATCTACTTAAAAATCTTGTATTACAAATCAGGGCACATTTTCCTTTTGTTGACTGACACACTAGGGAAGACATTGCAACAATATAAGCAAAAGTAGGAATTTTCCTGATGAAGTAATTTAGGACTTTGCTTCTTTTCCAGCTATGTCTTTTTCCAAAAATACATGGCTAGGGTTACCATGAAAGAACAAGAATACTTAAGCAAAATCCCTATCTTCTTTTAAGTCAGTAGGAGTTTCACCAGTGAGCTAAAATTTGTGCAGGATTTTCTTCTGGGTCATTGGGATTAAAGACAGAAATGGTACTCAAAGTTGTTACTTCAGCTGTAGAATGACTCAAGGCCCCTGCTGATTCCTTCATGCTGGCGTTACTGTGAGAACCAGAACTAAGAAGACAATCTGTGGTTTTACACATCAATCTCTGGAGAATGTTTCATCTCTTTACTTAAGCATCTATGAATGCATGAGCTGGCCCTTATTAATAAAGTTATGTATTTTGAGGTACCAAAATAGAGAGGGTTTTATAGAACAAAGGAAACCTTTGCATTGATTGGGGACTTCAGAGTGAACATACAAAGGCGGAAATACTACTAACAGAAAATCCTCAAGTAGCTATCTGAACTACATGGTTAATTTGAGTCATCCAGAATATTAAAAAAAAATTACAACAAAGTTCAAAAAAAGCAAAATGCTGCTAAACAATTATCAAATTCTTCTGTTGATAGTGAAGCTTTGTACAGGAATAAGAAGTGACATTTAATTAATAAATCCTAAATGGTAGTCTTTTATAAGATGATATTTTGTGTGATCTTCCTTCAACAGTACTTTTTATCTCAGTCCAGAACTACAAAAACTGAACTGGAACAAAAAAATGAAAAGATACTTCTAATATGAAATTAACCTGCCTGCATAATAAGAATTGCTTGTTGAACTTAAATTAATCTTCTAACTTATTTCATAATGGCTTTCTCATTGAAAGAAGCCCTTGGAGTGGCAAGTTTTAATTCATATTTTAGAGGAATCGCTAGGATAAGGATGGAGATTCAGCCTTACTGATTTTTAGCTTTATCTTGTTTCCACCTTGTTAGAGAACTGGTGAGTGTTGTCTCAGGACTTTTTCACTCTCTGCACATCTGATGTTCAAGTTTGGATATACTAAACATTAAATAATTGGTTATGTGGGTGATGAGTAATCAGCCTCACGAACAAGATCAATACAGAATGGAGATGACTATTTAAGTTGTGGACTTGGACAACTTGGACACTTCTTAAAGTTTGGCAACTGCTTTATGGTCTGCACAGCACCTCTGCAATGCCTCATGAGGCAGGCACCACTCCTCAAGCTTTTTTATGAGCCTCTACTCATCCAGCTCACCTCTCATTAACATGGAGACTGTTCCCACAGTGTCTCTTTGTGGAAATCACCTGCTGAATGACTGATTTCTTGAGCTTTTTTTTTTTGATCATTTTTGAGCTTTCTGTGAGATTCAAGAGCCAGGAGAGGTTGTTTCTGAGGGCACAAGCCCTTGTAGTTTCAGAATTATATTTCAGAAATATTTCGGGGTGTCATTTTTCATGTTTGAAAACTAACATTTGTAGGAAATGTAAGTTGGTATAGCAAGAAGAGTTTGAAGAGAGTTCTATGGACCTTTTGGAATGACAGAATTTCTTTATTAATTCAAATAAAAATATTTTAGTGATCCTTTTCATCACTAGAATTCTTATTGAAAGCTGCCACAATGTAGTAGCAACAGCTAATCCATCACACATTGCAGATTTTGAAATAAATTCTCTTTTAGCCATTATAATACAAGTCTTTCCAGTAGAGGCTTGGCTGTGCAAGTATTCATGACAATGTGAAAGTTACATTTGTCTGGTTCCTTTGAACAGAACGTTTTGACATGAGCAAACTGTTGTAAAATCGGATCTACAGATAGAGATCACTGCACAGACATATAACTTAAGGTTTAATGATGAGCTGTGTATCTGTAGGTATATAAGAAGGAATGCTCTGAAGAATAACTTTCTGGCCTTGCTTAAATTGATGCATTAGTTATTTTCTTTCAGGAATGTGATCTAAAAAAAAAAAAAAACAAACCCATACAAAGATAAATAAATGCCAACCTAATGACCTTTTCCCTAGTATGACTAAGTACAGCTCCTTACAGTTGACATAGTAACTTCCTGTATATAAAAAAGGTCTTTGTAATAGCATGTATTAGGTTGTATTTTTATACATTGTTACTATTATTTAAGAAGACTATTTGATAGAGTTATATAGTTGTAATTCATCAATTTACTTAAGAAATATCATGCAACCAGGATGCTATATCTATGCTGAAATTGATCGTGGTGGGTAACTTTATTTTTTCCAAATTGTACACCACGTCACTTTCATTTTTAACAAAAAAAATCACAGTGCGATGATGTCCTTTTGTCTTTGGAATGGGCTTGGAACTCACAATCCCGTTGAAACAGGACAACCTTTGCAAACAAAGTGCCTCGGTAAGGAAGGACAGGAAATTAATTCGACTGTAAAACACTGATGTAAAAACAGCAACCAGATGAAGAGAAAAGGGAATTTTTCTCCAGCATGGAGAAATGTATAATTCAACTTGATAACTTGATGTCATCATCTGACAGGGAAGTGATCTTTAACATAGAAGATTAAACAGCAAATCAGCCAAACCCATCTGCTATGACATTTGGTTTCCTTAAGATCCATATTCTCTGCAAGTTCGTGGAACTGGCTGAAGTTACCAGGAATGAACTATATTATGAATAACACATAAATATTGTTCTAATCACTGGACCATTCAAAGAAAACTAATTTTAAAGTTTTATTAACATACTTATTGCTGGCAACAAATACTTTTAAAGTAATTAATAAAATTAGTCTTGTGAACAATAGCAATTACCAACAGATGGGCAGTTACTTACAAAAATATTACGTTGAGAGCTTTTTGGGACATTGTTGAAGTGTTGCTCTTACTGTAGTATATTTAGTTTTGTACTACTTTGTATATATCTGATGCAATATCTGTGTCGTTAATTTGCAATTATGAAAATTGCTTAAGAAATGAAAAGAGTCTTTCAAGTTACGTGAATGAGTCATCTAAAAAACCACTGTTCTTCTGAGTTTAGTTCAAGACAGCCCACACCAGGGTCAATGCAGAGTATATCAACATCTGTAAAAGATCTTGAGTCTGATGAATTTGTTGGTCTTTAAAACATTTGTCTCTCTGTAGAGAATACTGATCTTTGATTTCCAAAAGCTGGGCTGTTTTTTTTTTTTCCTCTAACTGTATGAGACATAAAAAGAGAAGCTTCAAGGAGGATTTAGCACATTACTTTACAGTAAGATTTATCTTTTTTTTTTTTTTTTTTGTATCTGCATCTTTTTTTCTGTGACTTGATATTCTGGGAATTCTTTGGAGAAAACCAATTGAGTTGCACATGGGTGGTCACTCAATTTTGTAAAGCTTAATCCTGCAAACATGTATTAACATGTTTAACAGTGTGCACATGGGTGGTCACTCAATTTTGTAAAGCTAAGCAAATGAGAAAATATTTGCTGAACTGGAAAGAGTAACCAAGTATATCTCCTGACGTTTAATGATACAGCATAGGGCAGGTATCTCACTAAACAAAAGCTCTTCAATGCTGCAGATTCTTTGCCTGCAAGTGGATAAACTAGCATAAGAGCTAACACCTATTTTGATTTAATGGATGTTGCGAAGAGAAGAAAATCAAATTGACAGTTTCACCAAAACCTTCAAATTAGTTGAAGGTTTTGGTGAAAGGTCATCTAGTCCAAAACCTTGGACTAGATGACCTTTGAAGATCCCTTCCAGCCCTAACCATTCTATGATTCTATGATTCTAAATTATGACAATATGAACTACAATGTAAAGTTCAAACCTGACACCTAGAGCCAGGCTCAGTCTTAAGAAAATGAAACAACACTTCTTCTCTGGGTCTACAGATGAAAGCGTTGTGAACAGCACGGAGGTAGCAGCTGAGACGTCCACTTGCATTCAGGGACAGGGTGAAGGTTACCGTGGCACAGTCAACACCGTGTGGAGTGGCATCCAGTGCCAGCGATGGGACTCCCAGTTTCCTCACCAGCACAACATCACCCCCGAGAACTTCAAGTGCAAGTGAGTAGAGACATGTGGGTATTACTGCAGCAGGAAAAGAGCTTAGTTTTTAAATGTTTAGAAATTCATGCCACCAAAGTAGATCATAGGATCCCTGTCCCTGCTCTGTGACCTGATGCATTTACCCTACTTGCTGATGCTGAAAACCACTTTAACATGAGAAAAACAGTTATTCAGATCTCAAAATATCAGTTCTAGATGAACCTGTGTGAAACTGTAGGATTTTTAATGAACTTTTTCTTCAAGCATATATTCACCAATTTAATTGATTGTGAAGTGTGTGGATGTTTTCCAGACTAAGACCTGAATCCCAATAGTACTGGTACATTAATATTGTTTTTCTTCCATGGAGGCAAGTACTTGTTCACAGTTTAGTTACTGACGTTAACTTAGTATGTCCTAAATCTTACCTAAGTGCAATCTCATTGGCAACACTTGACATTTATAATATTTGACAACATTTCTTTTATTTTCCATCTTTTTCATCCTTTTTCTGTCTCATTATTAGATGTACTTGCATGACTAGGATTGCTTTTACCTGAAGGACCACTGGTTATTTAATGTTTCTGTACACTTCATAAACTCCCACTTATTTTAGGCAGGTATCTTTATCATGTTCTTTCAGTCTTTTTTTCACTGAGCATAAAGGAAACCAGCTGACCAACGTGGACCCAAAGCTCGACTTGTACTAAATGTCTTTGCTGATGGCTAAATATCAGTCTGGGCTTGTGCTAGAATTTAATAGTGTGGATCTTTCAAGGCAGATGAAAGATTCCAGTCTGAGTTCAGATTATCTCTCTAACAATAGCTTGTTTGAGCAAAACAGTTAGGATTGTTGTCTTCATCTCTTCACTACTATAGTTCAGTTTACTGATCAAATACTGTGCATTGTAACACACCTACTGAAAACCTGACAGCTATCATTGTAATGGAAAATAGGACTGATCCTGAGCCTCCTCTGCCAATCTCAGGACCACCTTGAGTTTACCTGAAAGTTTGTGCTTGAGCCTCATCCCACAGGTTTTTCTCAGACAAACCACCGCTTGAACCGATTTGCGCTGTACCTACATAACTTTGCTGCAGGATTAGGCCCTCGTACAGTTTTAGCAATGTTCCTGACAGTGCAGAAGGGCTAACAGTATTAGGACTGCTTATTCAGCTGATGCTTGAGAGGGTACTGGCTATAGAGACCAATAGCTTGAGCAATATCAACAGAACTGCTGGTACAACTATTCAAAACTCACAAGAGTAAGAATTACAGTATTAGGCTCATTCTTTCCATAAGCTGTTATCAGTAAGTGCTGCAGATGGAAAAATGCAGTGAAATATGGAGATGCACAGAACATGGCAACAACTGTCAGGAGATGGGAAAATAAAACTTACATTTAAAAGGTTTGACTATTTCATGCAAGCTGCGAGAGACATTTAAAGATGTTCCCTTGTGGCTAGCTCTTACTTTAAAGGTAACAGCTGTATAGAATTTCAACATACATTTTTTTTTGTATTCCAAGATTCAATTTCTTAAATGAATCACTGACAGTCTACAGGACTCTGTTTCTCTAAACTCAGCAGAACCATTCAAAGTACAGGGAATTTTAAGCACTTAGGTAATGTTTGTATTTAAAAACACTTGTAATGGCTTGCAGGTGTATCCTATGTCAGCTTGCATGCAAATTTTGATGGAGAATCCTGAGTAAAAATAAGCTATAATGTAAATTTTGTTAATCTTCAAATGAGATCTTATATCCCGTCAAAACATAGGTCTTCTGAAAATAAATTCCCATAACCATATTCTTCTTACAATTACTATATTTTTCTGTACAGTGTGTTCTTACTGGTTTCTCATCTCCTTGCACCTGACACTGATCAGTAACACTCAGACCTTAAGGAGCCTATATTACTGCTAATTCATAATAAAAAACAATAGAATGCCTCAGTGGTCTTAGGTTATCCCTGCTGTGAGCTAACATATTTATTTTTATAGGGATTTGAGGGAGAACTACTGCCGAAATCCAGATGGATCCGAATCACCCTGGTGTTTTACCACTGACCCAAACATCCGGATTGGTTATTGCTCCCAGATTCCTAAGTGCGATGGATCAAATGAACAAGGTAACAGAGGGAAGGGTGATAACATGATTGTAAGTGAATGCTGTACTGTTCCAAACAGCAGATAAGCAGGCTTGAAAACTGGAGAAGTTGATGTTGATACATCTGTATTACACCTGCGTAGTTCCGCTTTGGCTTTATTTGCATACTTGGGATCCATCATGGCATAAATGAGATTCTTTCTCAGTTCGTGTTTTGATTCCAGCAAAGAAAGCTGCAGCAAATGTTTGCTATCGGATCTGAGTTTTAGACAAGGTGAATCTGTGTACCATTTTATATTATCTGGAGATCTGCTCCACTGTCTTACCTTTCTTAATTTGAAAGACATTTCTCCAGAGCTGAGATTATTTCCTTGGTACACAGTCTTTTTATAATTGCATATGAGGCCATCAAATGTGATTTTTTATTTTTTTTTCCATACACCCCTTTGTCTAAAAGGAATCATGCTGAAAATAACACAAGACTTCCCATAGAACCTCTTAGCTTCAAGCTGTTACTTGTGCCTGTGAAGTCCACTCAGAGTCTTCAGGCAAATGTTGTTTTTCCCATGAGGTCTTAGTATTACTGTAAAGACTGTTGCATCCTGAGCACTGATGTCCATCATAGCATAAACTGAAGCTAAGACCTTAGAACTACAACCCTACATCAGGCTACATTAACATCTCCGTCTTTAAATTCTAGCCATTTTTTCTCTTACAATTTGAAAGAGTTGCAAGAGTTCTGTCAGAGTAAGGATTAAACTTTGACTTTCACTCTGCGTTTTTTGTAAAGTATCAATTATCAAAAAGTAAAAATACTGATGAATATGAAACAAAATGCTTTATCCAAAAAAATATTGATAGTAGAGATAATTTAAAAAAATTCTCTTGAAAAGTTTCAAAAAAGCTTGTGATAAAAGCTTATGAATTAAACATAACTTATACTGGAGTGAACAGGTGAGTTTTTGAATTAAATTAAAGTCATGTTGGTTTTTTGATTGTGTCAAAGTAGAACTTTAATCTAGAATTATATACTGTTGCTGGTATCTGGAATCTACATAAGCTTGTTTCAAATAGGCTAAGAACGCGTGTTTTTTGAGGAGGGAGGATTAATGGGGGCATTTTTGCTCTGTTTTGTCTAAACCAACTCCTGATGACTCTTAGAACATTCTGTGTGACCCTTCTAAATTAACCATTTTCCCGGTTTATCTAAGTAAGACAAAATGTAAAATGTTCCTGTGCTAAGAATGAAGGCCTCAAGCAGAAGATTATGTATCTACATTTGTAATTTTCTCCCATTTTCTTTCGGATTTGATTTATACAGTTGTCTGATTTATTTAATGTTTACTAAATATAACACTTGTCTTTAATAACTTGGATTACTGATGAAAAGAAAGAGTTTTCGATGTTGCACAATCACCCTCCACTTCTTTTTGTCTCAATATTCCTATTTAGATTGTTATCGTGGCAATGGCAAGAGTTACATGGGGAATCTATCCAAGACAAGATTTGGGCTAACTTGCTCCACATGGGACAAGAATATTGAAGACTTACGTAGGTGTGTACATATGAAACAGAAAGAGATGGTTCAGTGAGTCCTGAATAAATACTGCCTCCAGATGGCATCTCTTTTTCTTCTGCAGTGATTTTAAAATAGCCCCTTATGCCCTGGAGCTTTAGTATCTTTTTATTTTTTAATTCTTCTGGGTTTTTTTTCCCCTCTCGGTGTTTAAATATATTATGCAATATGTCTTTGTTCAGGCTAACCGCTAATTGCAAGCTTTGAGATGTTTCTTAGTGTTTAGTGTACTGGCCTGGTTTACCCCATCTTTGTCCTTGGAAGTTTTCTTCTATGAGAGGATAGCAGGAATAAAGTAAGAATTATTATCTTATCAATCTGATCTCATAGCTCACACTACTTCAAGCAGAAGGTTAGACTCAAAACCTTGCAACCTGAAACTGAATCATGAGTCTATCATCTAGACTCTGAAAGCTGGAGAGGGACTTTTTACAAGGGCATGTAGTGACAGGACAAGGGGCAATGGCTTTAAACTGAAAGAGGGGAGATTTAGATTAGATCTAAGGAAGAAATTCTTTACTGTGAAGGCAGTGAGGCACTGGAACAGGTTGTCCAGAGAAGTTCTGGGCACCCCATCCCTGGAAGTGTTCAAGGCCAGGCTGGATGAGGCTTTGAACAACCTGGTGTAGTGGAGGGTTTCCCTGCCCATGGCAGGGGGGTTGGAACCAGACGATCTTTGAGATCCCTTCCAACTCAATACTTTCTATTATTCTATCTAATGACTCTGACATCAGATGCCATTAAAGTGACTTGCACTTTCTGTTGTTTCTCATTACTTTGGATTCACATTCAAGTAGCGGAAATATCAAGTTACTTTTAATTTATTTGTTAAGGTAAAAATGGATCAGCAGCAGGTGCAAAAGATGTGAGTTTTTCAATCATGCCGGGATCCTCAGTGTTGTCTCTACCTGTTCAGAACAGTAGGTTAATATATGTCAGGATTAACAAGAAAAATGACTTTCAGATACTGCACAAAGAGATTTATCAAAAATTTTGCCATGTGTGAGATATTACACACATTAGTGTCCCAGACCAAAACAGTTTTCCCCTTGTTTTCCTTCAGTTTCTGAAGTTGATGCTATTATAGAATCATAGAACCCCTCACACCATATTATGTCTATATTGCCTTTGCTACTCGTTGAGTTAGTGCTTGTGATCACCACAATTATAGTGCCCACCATAATAGACATTGCTCACTGGAATTTGACTAAGTCAAATTTGACTAAGTCAGCCTTTGGGGAAGCTGTATTGCAAAAGGCAGACTTCAGTGGTACTGTCTTGAATCACCAACTGGACTATATGTGGTTT